AAATAGAAGACAAAAAGCATTTTCCAGGTAGCTCAACTTATCGTTGTTTTCAAGTATTTTCTGCCAAACTATGAGGATACATCTGGTTCAAGACAGCAGATTCATCATCACTGGGCATCTTTTTTTCTTTTTTTTGGTCTTTCACAAATCTATTAAAACGATGATTAAAAAGGAAAATAAAAAGGGAATTAAAAAATTACAAAAAAAAAAAAGGAAATGAAAACAAATTAAGGAAATTAGAGGTAATCTCCACCAGCAAATATGTTTAAACACACCTCTGCAAAGCAGAGTTAGAGAAGTTGTAAAGCACAAACTGGGAAAGGGGAAAGGATCCCCAAAACCTAAAGTAAATCCACAGACACAAAAGACGGAGCTGGGGCCACCATGCAGAACCTTGAAGGAGCTTGGGGCTAGTTCCCACCAAACCACATCGATCAGAAATCATCAGTACCCTGCAGGCTAAAGAATTGTGGACAAGCAGAGTTTGTTCCCCTGTTAAAACAAGAAATACAGTTACATGCTACTTAAATCTGATTTTGAGTTGTAAAAAGTAAAGACTAAAATCATCCTGGTTTCTCTGAAATAGAATTCCATTCATTTTGAGTTTCCAGAGGACCAAGAGAGCAAAGGTTCTTTTCACCAATCATCTCACCCTACTGGCTACTTTCCAATTTGTTTAAATTTCAAAAAGACCCAAATACCATACTCACTCTCATAGAAAGGATATCATTATCACACCTGAGTAAGTTCCCACCAAATACCCTTTAGAGCTGTTTTCTTTCTTCCCTCCAATCCAGGATCCAATCAAGGATCATGGACTGCGGCTCTCATGTTCATGACCAGGTTTCAGGCTGCACAATTCTTTCCAGAGACTTCCGGTGTATATATTGTCTGCACAAGTAGGCTGTACTCTCTTTAAGGGCAAGGCTTTTGTTTTGTGCCTATGGGTAAAGGTTAACAAGCCCCTGTCCCTAAGGTGTGAGAATCTAACTTTAAGTTAAACTCTAGCTCTGTTATCCAAGTTACCCGATAAGTGTCAGGGTGCCATCACTGTTTCTTAGACAACCGGCTTATGGTAAAAATGACCCTTGCCTGGTCACTTGCATCTGAACTGGGATAACTATCAGTGAGCTATTAATGGGAATACCATGCTTTTTGGCTTTTCCTGAGTGCAGTGACACTTGTAACTGCATGTCCCTGTGGCCCCAGAAAGCTACAATTGTTACAAGAGATTCTGGTTTCTGTGGGGCATTAGGCTCTAAGCCAGGGTAACCCTACACCTGTCCGATGTGGCTCTCACTTCCTTGTACCTGTGTGACTGTGACAAGAACACTGATTGAAGAAGAATACCTGATGCCAACCCCCTCACAAGCTATGTTCCTGTCCTACATCCTTCTGAATACACAGAGGAACCATATGTGGGCTGTGGTCATCTTAGGAATCTGAACATTGAATTGAATTTAGGAAGACCTCCTTGTGGCACTGCATCACCCTTGGCTAATTCCAGCAAAATTTGGCATCATTTACTTACTATCTTCCATTACAAAAGCAGGTAACATTTTCAATGCTGTGAAAACTATCAACCAGCATATATTAAACTCCTACATGAATGTTTCAAACCATTTAAAGCAAAAAAAAAAAAAAAAAAAGGCTTAAAGAAAACTAGTAACACAATGAACAATATTTTAGCCAGCTACTTTGTAACAATTGTTAAGTCAATTTTACTACTTCCACATTAATTATTCTACTGTTTCTCAAAAAACAAATGTTTATTTTTAGGCCCAGGCAGTGACTCATTCATGTAATCCCAGCACTGTGGAAGGCCATGGCAGGCAGATGACTTGAGGCCAGTAGTTCAAAGACCAGGATGGACAACATGGAGAAACCCCATATTTACAAAAGTTAGCCAGGTGTGGTAGCATGCACCTGTAATCCCAGCTACTCAGGAGATTGAGGCAGGAGAATTGCTTGACCCGGGAGGCAGAGGTTGGAGTGAGCTGAGATTGTGCCACTGCATTCCAGACTGGGTGACAAAGCAAGACTCTGTCTTAAAAAGAAAAAAATTAACCAGGAGTGGTGGCACATGCCTATAACCCCAGCTACTCAGTAGGCTGAGGCACAAGAATCTCTTGAACCCAGGAGTAAGAAGCTACAGTAAGCTGAGATGGCCCCACTGCACTCCAGCCTGGGTCACAGAGACTGTCTCAAAATTAAAAATTAAAAAACTAATACATACTACCTTTGCTTTTTTCCAGCCCATTTACCAATTCCTAAGCCACTATTCTAAATAATCTTCTAGGCCGGGAGCGGTGGCTCATGCCTGTAATCCCAGGGAGGATTTGGGAGGCTGAGGCTTCGTGGATCACGAAGTCAGGAGATTAAGACCATCCTGGCCAACATGGTGAAACCCCATCTTTACTACAAATACAAAAATTAGCTGGTTGTGGTGGCTTATGCCTATAATCCTGGCTACTCAGGAGACTGAGGCAGGAGTATCACTTGAATCAGGGAATCAGAGGTTGCAGTGAGCCAAGGTCACACCACTGCACTCCAGCCTGGTTACAGAGCGAGACTCTGTCTCAAAAATAATAATTTTCTAATATGAAGAGCCTCTTACCAACAAACTCTACCCCAATCTCTTCTACTAACAACTCTGAAATCAAAATGCAGACCATGCACGCAATGGAACATCAAAGGTACATCCTAATCCTACATGGGAAGGCACCCTAACTCTATACATCCTCCAAATTCCAGAATAATAAATCAGTCACATTGCTTTTATGACTTAATCAGAGCTACCAGGTTCTCAAATATAAATAAGTAAAACACTAATAATTTTTTAACCAAAAGATGAACATTTTAGTGTCAGATGAATCAGCAGATAAGTATAATAATCAGTTTTATTAACATTCTATTAAGCAAAAGCAATAAAAGTATTAGCTGGATAGAAATCTATTTTTAGCCAGGTGAGGTGGCTCACACCTGTAATCCCAACACTTTGGAAGGCCAAGGCAGGTGGATCACCTGAGGTCAGCAGTTCAAGACCAGCCTGGCCAACATGGTGAAACCCCGTCTCTACTACAAGTACACAAATTAGCCAGGTGTGATGGTCTGCTCCTGTGATCCCAGCTACCCAGGAGGCTAAGGCAGGAGAATCACTGGAACCCAGGAGACAGAGGCTGCAGTGAGCCAAGACTGAATCACTGAACTCCAGCCTGGGCGACAGAAAAAAAAACTTTTCTCTAAAAAAAAAAAAAAAAAAAAAAAAAAATCTATTCTCAAAACCATTAACCTGTTGAATAGTGAGAAAATATGGCTTCTAAATTGCAAAATATTTCCTTCCCACTGAAGATGGTTTTACTTTCCAAGTTCAATAAATATGTCAATATCTGGCATGTATCCAAATAGTTAAATTAAATGACGCAGTACTGAAACACTCTGTATAAAAATGGTATTACAAGCAAAGGAAAAAGAGGTTATCCAAATTTTATGCTTATATAAATGTAATTCTTTGACCTCAGATTAAAAGTCAGGGCCTATCAATCACCCTTTCAATATTATTCCATATTCAGGCAAAAGAAAGCCACACATACTTACTTTGTGACAGCCACACTAATCAGGGAAGTTGTTGGAGCTCCTTTCCTTTAAAAGGTTAAAAAAAAAACTTATTTGATGGAAAACATAATTATCTTTTATTATTCAAACAGAAGCAAAAGTGTTTATGAGAAAAAGCTCTGTCCAGTTAGACAACTGACAAATGAGTCTAGTAACCGAAACAGAAATCTGTCCTTCAGCTTGGTGTCTTTGAGACCTACGGAACAAAACTTTCATAAACATAAAAATAGCACCAAGCAATTCTGAATTAGCTTCCTGCACTGATCACAGGAATCGTTAGGTTAAGCTCAGCTAAATATGGGAACTGAGTGAAGCAGAAATCTACCAACCTGCTGCATTCACTAAACTTTCCTTGGAAAACCCAGAGAGCTGAGGAAAACTATGCAATGAGCCTTTTTGGATTAGAATGCTGGAAAACATGAGTTCCTTTCACAACATGGTGCAAAATTATTAGTCCTCTCAAATATGTCCTATTTCACAACTAGTTTTTGAATACATTCAACAGAGTACCACACATTGAAAATGAACTAATAATTAGTGGAACAGATGCAAGTAAAATGAGCCAAAGACAATTGTCCTGATTTTTCTTATTTAATTTCTTCCACAGAACACAGAAGCAAAAAACAAGTAACTGTTTGCCATCTATAATATACAGACATTTTTACTATGAAATATTTTGTAGAGTTGAAAAATTTAAGACATCAATAGGAACACCGACCAAGTGCCTAGAATTACTTGGGAGTTCACTATCAAAGTTTTATTGGCCAGGCGCAGTGGCTCATGCCTGTAATCCCAACACTTTGGGAGGCCGAGACGTGTGATCACCTGAGGTCAGGAGTTTGAAACCAGCCTGGCCAACATAGTGAAACCTCATTTCTACTAAAAATAAAAAAACACAAAAAATTAGCCAAGCATGGTGGTGCATACCTGTAATTCCAGCTACCTAGGAGGCTGAGGCAGGAAAATTGCTTGAACCTGGGAGGTGGAGGTTGCAGTGAGCTGATACTGTGCCATTGCACTCCAGTGCAATGGGCGACAAGAATGAAACTTCATCTCAAAAAAAATTTTTTTAATTAAGTTTTATCAAAGAAGGCAGGTGACGCACACCTATAATCCCAGTTACTCAAGAGGTTGAGGTAGTAGTACCTAGAAATGGCTATTTTTATCACTCACTGCTAGATAGGAAAGTGAGCAGGTCTTACCAGAGGCAGACATTTCCACATATCAAGGCGATGGCATTGTTCCAGCCATACACTGCCACAGGGAAATTGAATGCAGTGATGATTCCAACCAGGCCTACAGGATTCCACTGCTCGATCAGTGCATGGCCAGGTCCTGATGACAGGAAAAGGATGGAACATGCCAAAGTATGTTAATTTAATGTGCATCAAGTTAATAAGATCAAATGTACAACAGACCAGAGAAGATTCCAGACGCCTTATAGTGGGATATTGCCAGGGGATATTGGTACATTAACAAATGTACAACAAACGTGGTTATTAGGCTGGGCGCGGTGGCTCACGCCTATAATCCCAGCACTTTGGGAGGCCGAGGCGGGTGGATCACGAGGTCGAGAGATCGAGACCATCCTGGTCAACATAGTGAAACCCCGTCTCTACTAAAAATACAAAAAAAAAATCAGCTGGGCATGGTGGCGCATGACTGTAATCCCAGCTACTAAGGAGGCTGAGGCAGGAGAATTGCCTGAACCCAGGAGGCGGAGGTTGCGGTGAGCCGAGATCGCGCCATTGCACTCCAGCCTGGGCAACAAGAGCGAAACTCCGTCTCAAAAAAAAAAAAAAAAAAAGTGGTTATTAGTGCACTACCTTGTAAATCACAATGATATTCATTATGCCGCTGATCCTCGTAGGAACTCTGCATAGATCAGAGTGGTATAAGCGCACCTGAGAGACAAGGACACTTTCTAGAGTTGATGGGTGCCCTAAGTGGTATGATCACAAAGGGCAGAACATGACCAGGGCACAGGGGCATAGGCCCATGTTTGTACTTTGTTTTGTTTTGTTTTGAGACAGTCTCACTCTGTTGCCCAGGCTGGAGTGGAGTGGGGCGATAGCTCACTTCAACCTGCACCTCCCAAGTTCAAGCAATTATGGAGCCCCAGCCTCCTGAGTAGCTGGGATTACAGGCATGTGCCACCACACCCAGCTAATTTTTGTATTTTTAGTAGAGAAGGGGTTTTACCACGTTGGCCAGGCTGGTCTCAAACTCCTGACCTCAAGTGATCTGCCTGCCTTGGCCTCCCAAAGTGCTGGGATTACAGGGTTGAACAACTGCAACCAGCATCCCATTTTCTCTAGGTTGCCTGATGAAGCCTTGGGCCACCTTCCCTGAATTCAAGACAAGGTGTTTCATTTATTGGTGGAAGATGGGAAGGGTGAGTTCTAATAATTATATATATGTTGAATGAATGAATTGCACAAATCTTTACATTCACTATAAGAAAACTAAAAATACAAATAAGCTGGGAGCATTGGGTCATGCCTGTAATCTCTAGCACTTCAGGTGACTGGGACGGGAGAATCACTTGAGCTCAGTGTGAGACAGATCAACATGGCAAGACTCCTGCCTCTACAAATAAATAAATAAATAAATAATAAGCTGGGTGTAGACGGGCACGATGGCTCATGTCTGTAATCCCAGCATTTTGGTAGGTCGAGGCGGGCAGATCACGAGGTCAGGAGATCGAAACCACCCTGGCCAACATGGTGAAAGCTCATCTCTTCAAAAAAAAAAAAAATTAGCTGGGTGTGATTGGTGTATGCCTGTAATCCCAGCTACTTGGGAGGCTGAGGTGGGAGAACTGCTTAAGCCCAGGAAGTTGAGGCTGAAGTGACCTGTGATTGCGCCACTGCACTCCAGCCTGGACAACAGAGTAAGACCCCGTCTCAAAAAAGAAAAGAAAGTAAGGAAGAGACGAGACTAGACAAGACAAGACGTGAAAAGAAACAAAAATATTGTATTTTAAATACAAACTTTAAAGTCACCCATAATCCCACAAGGGGCTTATTTTACTTAAACGCAGCTGGAGCAATGCAGAACCATACCACAGGAATACAGTGGTTGACAAATCCTGGTTAAAAACACAGATCAACTGGAAAGGCAGCTGTCCCAGCCATCAATCTTTCTGGCCACACTCACACTGCTAGCTAGGATGGGGAACCATATCAGATGCAGCACCTCACTCCCAGGCCCTTCTTAGTCTAGGTACCCTAATCCCTACAGATGAAGAACTGGTACAGTCTCTTCCTGGCAGGGCCTGCCTCCTCCTCTCCTGCCCTCCCCTCTCTGCCCTGATGTCACCTCCTTGCTTATAACCCTCTGGAGTTTGGCTTCCTACAATAGCTATCCTCAGAATAAAGTCCAACCTCCTCATCAGAAAAAGCCCCTTCCCGAGGTTCTCTTTCTACTCCACCCGCCCTATCACTGCACCCTCCAGCTTGCTAAAGCAATGCAATCCCCCAAACAAGCCACACTCTCCCAGCTTTCACACAGGCTCCTTCCTTGCTTAAAACAACTTCCCGCCCCAGCACTCCACCATTCTTCCTCTTTGTCCCACTTGGGACCTTACCTCGGCTAACCTTCTCTTGGAGGCATACCCCAACAGCACTCACAAGGCCAGGTTAGGGGCTCCCAGCTACATGCTCACCATCCTACTGTCTACTCCCTCATATTGCTTACCATGCTGGATTATGCTGGATATAATCACCTGTTTACTTATCTCCCACTCTAAAGTCTAATTTAAAAGCTTATAAATCCCTTGAGGACAGGGATTGTGTCTTACAGGTCGAGTATCATCTAGTAGATTATCCAGTACCTGATAGATGCTCAATAAGCATTTATTGAATTAATAAAGTCAAAGCTATCCCGAAGCCTCTACATAGATGAGTAAACTACTTTAAAAAGAAGTGTAAGCTAGGTGTCGTGGTTCATGCCTGCAATCCCAATACTTTGGGTGGCCAAGGCAGGCAGATCATTTGAGTCAAGGAGGTCTAGGCCAGCCTAGGCAACATAATGCAACCTTGTCTCTACAAGAAAAATTTAACAATTAGCTGGGCATGGTGGTGTGTGCCTATAGTCCCAGCTACTCAGGAGGCTGAAGTGGAAAGATTGCTTGAGTCCAGGAGGTCCAGGCTGCAAGGGGCCATAATCACACCACTGCACTCCAGCCTGGGTGACAGAGATCCTGTCTCAAATAAACAAATAAAAATGTGCAAGCAACTGAGAAATATTCTAATTGTGAGGTAGGCATCATAGTAGGTTTAAATAAGTTACCTGCTTGCACATGTACATGTCCCCAAATTGGAGGTTTACTAACTCATTTTAGCTGGAAAAAAACTCTTGAAAGTGTTCAATGACATAAAATTACTATTGCATAATGAGAATCATTATTAGATAGCTAATTAAAGACATGAACTGTATATTAAAAAGACTCCTCCAACTCTTTCTACAAGTAGGGAATTCACTCAAAATTCCAAGAAAAAGAGAAAAATGTGATTTTTTTGAAAATTACTTCTTTCCTGATTATAAATGTAACTGAATAACCATCATGGAAATTTTAGATAATAGAGAAAAATAGAAGAAAATCTACTACTAAAAATTCTGCCACAGAGAGAACCACTGCTACCACTTCAGCATATACATCTATCCCAGCATTTCCAATGCAAACACACAGTCACGTGTTTTGCCCCATCCACATTGCAAACATCACACACATACACTCTTAACCTCACTGTCTGTTTCTTACTCTTGCTGTTATCTTATTATCTTCATTGTCAAAACCTCAGAGAATAAAGTTGGTTCTTACAGAACAGCTTGTAATAGCAAAAGACTGAAAACAACCCTACATATACATCATGTGGGAGGTGACTAAATAAATTAGTCCCTTTATAACAAAACAGACAGCCACAGACACAGATGAAGGAAGCCCCTTAATAGACTAATATGAAAACAATCTCCAGCCAGGAACAGTGGTTCACACCTATAATTCTAACACTATGGGAAGCTCAGGCAAGTAGATCACTTGAGCCCAGGAGTTTGAGACCTGGGCAACACTGCAAAATCCCACCTCTATAAATTTAAAAAAAAAAAAAGGAAATTAGCCAGGCATGGTGGTGTGCACCCATAGCCCCAGACACTCAGGAGGCTGAGGTGGGAGAATCGCCTGATCCCGGGGAAAATGAAATGCAGTGAACTGTGATCATACCACTACATTCTAGCCTGGGCAACAAAGGAAGATCCTGTCTCAAAAAAAGAAAACAAACCAAAAACACAACTTCTAAGATATATTATTGAATACAAAAGTATAAAACAGAATGTATAGCTTGCTACATATTTGCCTATATGTGAATAAAATCTACAAGGGCCTAGCAAGGTGGCTCAGGCCTGTAATCCCAGCTACTCAGGAGGCTGAGGAGGGAGAATCACGTGAGTTCAGAAGATGGAGACCAGCCTGAACAACATAACAAGATCCTACAAAAATTAAAAAGACACACAAGAAATTGAAAACATTCATTACTTACATGGGGTACTATGGCTTAGCCACAAGGGGTAGGAGGGAAACTTTTCATCTTTTACCCTTTTATTGTTTCTAATTTTCTGGTTTGAATCTATCGCCTCTTCAAAAATCATTAACATTTGTATAATTTAAACACAAGTAAACACAACCTTCCTGTAAAAGCGTGGGGTCAGAGGAAGACAACATTCACAAACATTACTTTTAGTATTGCTAATAGTCTACCAAAATTGGCTTAGATTTTTTTTTCCCCTTATGATTTGACACCTAGGTCATTTCTAATTTTTTTTTATTGATGCCACAATGCACCTCTTTACACATAACTTGTCTTATTTCAGATTATTTACTTAGATTCTTAAAACTGGGCTCTTTAAAGTTATAGCTCTTTGGGTATATTTCCAAATTGTTTCACAGAGGAGTTAAAAGTGTCTTACCCATGGACTTGCTAACATTAAGTTTTATCTTTAAAACAAAAAAGTTCTTGATCTAATGTTTTCATCTATTTTAATTTGCATTTCTTTGAAAAATTGAGGGTATTTTCACATATTTATGCCACTTGAAATTTCTCCTTTGCACAGTCCATAGACAGAGTATTTTTTTGGAGCTCTATATATTGGAGTACAAAACTCAGCTTAACTGACTTCATTGCTTACTTTCAGAAGGCAAGATAGGTCCTCCAATCATCCGTGATAAACCAACAGCATAGTCACAGATATCCACATACTCCTGAACTTCTCCCACACCTTCCACTAAGATTTTCCCCATCTCCAAAGACACCTAAAAAGATAAAATGGCAAGCAGAATTTTTCCAACAGAATTCACATTTTAAACATTAAATTAAAGGGGGTCAGACTGAGATGATTAAAGAAAAAAGAGAAAAAAAAATAAAAGGGGAAAGCAAAACATATTTTGTGGATGTAATACATTAAAGTCAGTCTGTTTTTATTTTTATTATTATTACTTTTTTGAGACTGAGTCTCGTCTCTGTCACCCAGGCTGGAGTGCAGTGGAAAGATCTCGACTCACTGCAAGCTCCACCTCCTGGTTCAAGCGATTCTCAGCCTCCCGAGTAGATGGGATTATAGGCATGCGACACCACACCTGGCTAAGAGACATGGTATCACCATGTTGGCCAGGCTGGTCTCAAACTTCTGACCTCAGGTGATCCACCCACCTCAGCCTCCCACGATTACAGGCCTGAGCCACCACACCCAGCCTGTTATTTTGTTCATGGTTTTTATTTTTGTTTTTGTTTTTTGTGTGTGTGTTTTTGTTTTCTTTGAGACGGAGTTTTGCTCTTGTCACCTAGCTGGAGTACAATGGCATGATCTCAGTTCACTGCAACCTCTGACTCCTGGGTTCAAGCACTGCCTCAGCCTCCCAAGTAGCTGGGCTTACAGCTGCCTGCCACCACGTCCAGCTAATTTTTTTTTTTTTTTTTTTTTTTGT